ACGGGACGTGGTGGGATGAGCTGGGTCACCACCAGAAAGAAGCATCCTAGCTTCTACGTCCATATTTTGCTGTCGCAGCGGCTTAGCGCCCAAGGAGGAAACATCGACCTGGAATCGGCGATACATGGCCGATAGATCGGCGATAGGCCCTTGACAGCGAATCCGCACGTTCCTTGGTGGGGCGGGGTGGTCCATCAGGCTCCTATGGGCGATTCACGGGCGATTGGGAGTCCGATGCGCCCTCCCCTGAGCCTGTACCTCCCTGGACGTTGCCCCTCACCCAAGCGCTGCCGAGAACGGCAAAAGAAACGCCGGCGCGTATCCCGGGGAGCAGGAGCATCGACTGGGTGCCCGTGTTGGCGCACGACATGCACTACGAGGCGCTGCTCTTCGACCTGCTCGGGCCCGCCGCCGACGTGGAGGAAGGGGGGTCGGACGGGGCTAGGACGAGGATAAGTCCGTTCCAGAGCGTTCTGGAACGCTCTCAGAGCGTTCCAGGAAGCTCTGAGAAGACCGCGGCGCCGAAGAGCCGTAGCCTTTTGGCTCCGTAGCCTTTTGGCTCAAGACATTTTGGCCCAAGGGCCCGTGTCAGTTCTCCATGGGAGCAATGAAATTATCCGCCGCGTTAGTGTTTTTGGGCTATGTGCGGATTGATATATGGGCAATGGGTGAATCAAGGTCTAACTCAACGGAAAGGGGTGCAAGGCTGTGGCTTCATGTGGGCCCTCACAAACTGCTTCGACAACAATTCAGAAACAGCTTAAAGCTTGGCAGACCTATCTAACAAGTGACGGCTGGACGTGGGAAGACCCTGCGCAATTCGGACACTTGTTGGTACGCGGACAAATGACTCAAATCATGAATGTTGCAGAATGTTATAAGTTCCCGTCCAAGTACAAGGACAACATATACACAATTTGTTCAGATTGGCTGGACTTTCTTGACCAGCTCAAAGGAACTTCAAAAAAGGTAGTGATGTCTAGTGAGCGTTTCGACAGTATCAATGACACCAGCGTCGCACAGCTCGCGTTTGACTTCAGCCACATCAGTACCACGATTGGATCGCAAGTCGTATCGGCAGCTCAAGGCTCACGGGAAGGTTGAATTGGCCTTCGCAGATTGGCTAAGCGTTTCAAAGATGGAGCACTGCGCGTACAATTTCTCGTTCACGGCTTTTCTCTACATAGTCGCTACGCCGCTCATTTTTCTGATGTGAAGGTCAACGTGACGGGCCCCGATATGATGACCGATATTGCCTGCGATGACTTCAATGCTACGAACACGTGCGCGATGTCTAGGAAGGACAAAGTGATGAAGCTAAACGTCAGAACATAATCTTCGCCAGGTGAATGCCTCAGTTCTCTGCTGCTGCAAACGCTGAGAGCTATATCCATTGAGTTGCACCGGGCGGCGTACGGTATCTTTGCATCTTCAAGTTTTCCCGCGGCGGATTTCGATGCCAACGCCAGGATTTGCTTCGGAAATCCCCTTTAGATCCCGTCAGCCAGCCGCTGCTGTCGTGCCCTCGGAGGAGGAGTCGAGTAAGAGGTCGCCTACATAAACCATGTGCCCCAAGTTTTTTTGTTCGCTACGCAATGTATGTAAAACCTTCGTATACCAACAAACGTTGAACGCACTTGCTCGTCGTTTCGGAAAACCTGGGAGTCCGATGTCCAGAGCTTCTGCGACAAGTACGGGATCGGTGACTGGAGAGTAGCAGCCAGAGACGCACGTTCTTGGAAGTGTATGACCGGAGATCTTCTTCACATGAGCGCCTGCTAGTTTTCATTCGCCTGTGCCCTAAGGGGCCGCCCCTTCGCGGGCATACAGGCTTGCCCTTGCCCTTGACCTTCGGCAGACACTTCAAAATGCCGGACGTCGCTCGGAGTGGCCCCAGACCTCCAACGTCTCTAATAATTAGTTGCTGTTAAAAAACAAAAGACCGCGGCGCCCAAGACATCCTCCAGAGCCGCTGGATCTCAGAGATTCTCGGTTACCCTCACCCGAATTTATCCTCGTTCTGGATACGTTTCAGGGGGGGGGGGCAGGCTGGCGCACACCTGATGGCCCCCGCCTCGCTTCCCCGCCCACCTCCCAGCCCCACCCCTTGGGATCCTGGCGCCGCCTTCATTTTTGTGCCACGGGCGGTTCTGCCTCCGTTGCAGGCCCCATGACCCCCAAGGATCGATCCGGCTCGGAAGATGCCGTAGAAAGATTGGGGCTAAGTCTCCGTTCGTGAATTATTCGCGATGTTGTTTTTGTTCGCAAGGTCGGATCTCAGGGTCCCCTCCACCTCCCGCTCTTTCAAGGCCCACTTCGATCCGATGGGCTGGTGGTTCCCGAGGTGCCATAAGGTGGAGGGCCGACCTCCAATAAACTTTAAAACCACGAGTTCCCAGCCGTGAATCAAACCCTTGAATCTCAAAACTTATAGTTTTGAATGTATGGGAGTGCGCGGTTCTCAACAATAATAGTTTTAATACGTACAGTCAACCCGCATAGTAAGGATGAGCATCTTTCCAAGGCCACCCTTGCATCCTTCCCTTTCGGCCTATCCTTTGCCGCTTTCGCTGGCCATGCCCCGCTCGCAAAGTGTCGGCATGGCCTTCCAAGGCCCCTGCATCTTTACCATGTGTCCTTGTTCTACGGGTTGATTGTACGTTTGGCACGTTTTCATGCGAGGCGTAACATCTCATTTCGCTTCTCGGCTTTAAGGGGTTCTGCTGGTGGCGGAAGTGGTAAAGCGTCGTGGTGCCCCTCGGGAGGCCGAAAAAGGACGTAGCGCCACCCAGCAGGGTTCCATTTTTTTCAGCGTTGCCTCGTATTTTTCTCCATGATTGCGAACGTCACTTTTGCAACAGCGCCAGCCTGTGCCCAAGACGCCCCAAGAGGCCTTTAAGGTGCCGCCCAAGGGCGCGACGAGAGGGCAAAATTGTGGACGTCCATTGTTTTTTTTATAGCAATTGTTTACATTGTCGCTGTTTCGTGTTTCCAGCGCTAATGCACCGCCCACGAAGCTTCTAAAACCGTTCCAAAAGGGCCCAAGAGGCCCCCAAAGGGCCCCAAGACGGCCCAAGAGAGCCCCGAGACGGCCCCACAGCCGCCCAAGACGGCGCAAGAGGGTTCCAAGAAGGCCCCAAGAGGGGCCCAAGAGAGGAACCGCGAACTGAAAAATCAAGCTCTTCGCCCCAAGCTGCCCCCAAGAGGCCCCAAGAGGCCCCGAGGAAGCCCCCAAGAGGCCCCAAGAGGCCCCGTAAGAGGCCGCACGATGCGTTTCTAGCCGGCCGCTCTGCGGTTGATCGGGAGTTTCTGTATATAGAAGAAGGTGCGTGCGCTTGTTGGCGAGGGTGATGAGGTTCCTCCTCCTCCTCCTCCTCCTCCTCCTCCTCCTCCTCCTCCTCCATCCTTCTCTTGCCTCCGTCTGTCCTCCTCCACCCCGCAGCTCCATCATCTTCTCCTCCTCCTCCTCCTCCTCCTCCTCCTCCTCCTCCTCCTCCTCCTCCTCCTCCTCCTCCTCCTCCTCATTCCTCCTCTGGGCACCTCCCCCGGGGCGCGGATCCACCGGATCTGTCCGGATCTGTCCGGAAACGGTGCCGGAGCCGCTCTGGGCTCCTCTGGGCACCTCCCCCGGGGCCGGTTTTGTGAGGATGTCTCAAGCGAGGGCGCCGGTTTGGGATTCGTCACCGGATCCAGCGGATCCAGCGGATCCAGCGGATCTGTCCGGAAACGGTGCCGGAGGCCGCTCTGGGCTCCTCTGGGCACCTCCCCCGGGGCCGGTTTTGTGAGGATGTCTCAAGCGAGGGCGCCGGTTTGGGATTCGTCACCGGATCCAGCGGATCCACGGGATCTGTCCGGAAACGGTGCCGGAGGCCGCTCTGGGCTCCTCTGGGCACCTCCCCCGGGGCCGGTTTTGTGAGGATGTCTCAAGCGAGGGCGCCGGTTTGGGATTCGTCACCGGATCCAGCGGATCCAGCGGATCCACCTCTGTCCGGAAACGGTGCCGGAGGCCGCTCTGGGCTCCTCTGGGCACCTCCCCCGGGGCCGGTTTTGTGAGGATGTCTCAAGCGAGGGCGCCGGTTTGGGATTCGTCACCGGATCCAGCGGATCCAGCGGATCCAATCGGATCGGATCTGTCCGGAAACGGTGCCGGAGGCCGCTCTGGGCTCCTCTGGGCACCTCCCCCGGGGCCGGTTTTGTGAGGATGTCTCAAGCGAGGGCGCCGGTTTGGGATTCGTCACCGGATCCAGCGGATCCACCGGATCCAGCGGATCTGTCCGGAAACGGTGCCGGAGGCCGCTCTGGGCTCCTCTGGGCACCTCCCCCGGGGCCGGTTTTGTGAGGATGTCTCAAGCGAGGGCGCCGGTTTGGGATTCGTCACCGGATCCAGCGGATCCAGCGGATCCAGCGGATCTGTCCGGAAACGGTGCCGGAGGCCGCTCTGGGCTCCTCTGCCCAGAGCTTCACGAACACCAGAATCCAGTGTCGAGACCTATCTTTGCGCGAAGATATAAAATTTAGGTTTCTCAAAAAGAAACCTAAATTTTAGGTTTTTCACTGAATTTTAGATTTTGCGTTGTTTTTTTTTGGTGTGATTTTGAGCGCTTGAGCATTATTATTATATATATATATATAAATGTGATATATTTATACATATATATCATACATATGTTATATATTATATATATATTATATAAAAACCTCATCCTCCTCCTCCTCCCCCTCCTCCTCATCCTCATCCTAAGCTCAGCCGCCCCTTATGCCCCAATCCTCCTGCTACCTCCTCTTTTCGGACCAGGGATACAAAAATCGAAATTGGAAATCGAGCCTTTGAGAGATTTTGAGAGCCCATTGCGTTGCATCCTCGGCGTATCCTTGGGAACCCCGTGTTGCGCTGATTTGCTCACCCGCCCCTTATACCCCAATCCTCCTGCTACCTTGGTATCGTAGGACACTTGTGATGATATGCGTGTTGCCCCGTGTACTTTGAGAGCCCTTGCGTTCTTGCGTCCTCGGCATATCCTTGGGAAGTCCCGTTGGCAGCCCTGCTGGAAATTCACTTGGTCGCCCCAAGGGTTAGCGTCCTTACCGATCACGCGTCCGCGCTGTGGCTAAAGCCAGTGCCCTCGGTCATCCTCAGCGTTTCGGCTTGGATCCTCTTTCTCAGGGAAAATGGCCAAGACCCGCGGAGCAAACTGGAATGGAGCTCTCAGTGAGATGGTGGCGTTCCTGACTTCTGTGCTTGTTGGGGAAGGCGGTGCTCCGAAACCCCTGGCCTACAGCCCCAGCTTCGAAGACCCAGTGGACATCGATGAGCTCTCGAAGCTCGTCCCCGTCCTGAAGGCTGCTCGAGAGTTGCAGGACGACCTCTTGATAAGGTCCCCCCCCTATGGAAACCTTACTAACACAGGACAGACAGGAGGATGAGCAGGAGGAGCAGGAGGAGCAGGAGGAGGGAGACGGGGAGGAGAAGGAGGAGGCGGAGGAGGAGGCAAGATGAGGGGAGGGAGGAGGAGAAGGATCAGGAGAAGGAGAAGGAGGAGGAGTAGGGAGGAAGAGGAGGAGGAGGAGGAGGTGGAGGAGGAGATCGCCCAACACAGGTACAACGACATCAAGGAGGGGATCATGAGCCTCATATTCGACAAGAAGCTGGTGCTCGACGCGAGCGTGTACAAAACGAAGGCCCGAGAGGAGGAGAGGAGGGGGACGAGGAGGAGGAGGAGGAGAAGAAGGAGGAGGAGAAGGATGAGGGAGGATGAGGGGGAGGATGGGGGAGGATGGGGGAGGGGGAGGGTGAGAATAAGGGGGAGGAGGGGGAGGAGAAGGAGGAGGAGGAGGAGGAGGAGGAGGGGGAGGATCGAGGTGGAGAAGCATGAGGAGAGGGAGGAGGAGGTGGAGGAGGAGGAGGAGGCGGAGGAGGAAGAGGAGGAGGAGGAGAGGGGGGAGAAGAAGAGGAGGAGGAGGAGACGAAGGAGTGAAGGAGAATGACGATGAGAAAAAGGAGGGGACTGGAAGCGGAATCCCTCCAGAGGCCCTCAAGAAGCAGTGGGCGGAGGAGCAGGCGGAGATCCTCCGCGTCGCGCTCCGCCACGTCAGGCGCGCGTGGTACCGCAAGGTATCGCCCGACGCCCACCCGTACTTGTCGGAGCTCCCAGCGCCGCAGAGGACACTGGGAGCAAATTCAAGGGGTAGAGTAGTAGTAGTCGTAGTAGTCGTAGTAGTCGTAGCAGCAGTAGTAGTAGTAGTAGTAGTAGTAGTAGTAGTAGTAGTAGTAGTAGTGGCAGCAGCAGTAGCAGCAGCAGAAGTAAGAGCAGCATTAGGAGTAGTATTAGGATTGGAGGAGGAGGAGGAGAAGGATGATATGTAGACGAAGGGGTAGTAGCAGTGGTAGTAGCAGTAGAAGAAGTACAGTATAACCATATAGTAGCAGTAGCATTAGTTGTGGCAGTAATTGTCGTAGTAGCAATAGCCAATCGGTAACAGTAGCAGTACATGGTGTTAGTAGTAACAGTAGTAGCAGTAGCAGTAGCAGTAGTAGTAGTAGTAGTCGTAGTAGTAGTAGTAGTAGTCGTATTAGCAGCAGCAGTAAGTGCAGGGAGTAGGAGTAGGAGGAGTAGGAATATGATCACCCGTTGGAGTAATAGTTCCTGAAAAGCAACATCGGTAGTAGTGACAATAATCTTAGAGCGCAAACGTAGATGTACTACAAACGTAGTAGGATAGCAGCAGCGGCAGCAGCAGCAGTAGTTACTGTAGTAGTAGCAATAGTACTAGAAGTAGAAGTAGGTCAGTAGCAGTAGCAGCAGTAACCGTACTAGTACCATCAGCAAACACAGTAGCGCCATCAGAAGCAACAGTAGGGATAGAACTAGCAGTAGCAACCACTGTATCAATAGCAGTAGTAGGTGTAGTACGTAGTAGTGGTAGTTGTCGTAGTAGTAGCCACGTCTACATCCACGTCTGCTACTATACCCCGACCACTGCCACTGCCACTGCTCCTCCTCCCCCTACCTCCCCCCCCCCCTGCCCCTTCCTCACTCCCCCCTCTGTCTCCCCTGCTCCTCCTCCCCATCCTCCTCATCCTCCTCCTCCTCCTCCTGACCCTCCTCTTCATTTTTTTTGTTGTAAATGCCAGCCCGCAGTCAGGGCGCCGGCCAGTGCTGCGGCTTCACCAGCGTTGCCTGATTTCGAGACGCCGCCGAAGACGTCGGCCATCTCGTGGGGCGCGAGCTTCGACGACTTCGCCGTCCTGGAGGGTAGCGCGCCAGAGGCCCAGGCTGCGCGAGATGCCGATCCAGATGATGACGATGTGGAGCTCGTGGAAGCGCCTCCGCGGTTCGTCCCGATGATCGAGCTCGAAAGCGAGGACGACGGTGACGGCGAGGTGCTTGGCCCGACGGCGTCCACTGAGTACGAGCCCCTAGCAGGCGTGGACGACACGTGGGTTTACCACTTCGACCAGGACGCGTTCAAGTGCTACCGCGCCTTGTGCACAGATGCTGGCGTGGTTGCGAAGCGCGAGGAGGCGAAGCGCATCGTTGCCCCGTTCTACGGCAGTCAGCTGGTCGCGCTCTTCGCGGACGGCACCGAGAGAAAGGTGGGGAGGATAAGGAGGATGAAGAGGAGAAGGAGGAGGAGGATGGAGGAGGAGGAGGAGGAGGAAGAGGAGCAGGGGAGGAGGGGGAGGAGGAGGAGGAGAAGGAGGGACGAGGAGGGAGGATGAGGAAGGACGGAGGAGGAGGCAAGAGGAGGGGAATCGGAATCGGAGTCGGAGGAATCGGAGTCGGAGGAGGAGGAAGAGGAGTCGGAGGAGGAGGAAGATGAGGAGGAGGAGGAGCATAACGAGGAGGACGAGGATGAGAGAGGTCTCATGGCCCCAAACGTCACCAAGGGTCCCCAACTTGTTTGCGCATCCACCCAGGTCCCCAAGATGATCGACAAGGAGCAGATCAACACACTTCAGTTTTCCCGTTTCGCGGAGCTGCGCGGCCTGAATGAGTCAGCGGATAGGAACGGGACGATCGTGCAATTGCTGTCGTACAACGAGGAGAAGAAGAGGTGGAAGGCACGCGGCGACGGCAAAGAGCTGTTCTCCGTGAAACCCGAGAACCTCGTGGCGGCGCCCAAGGTTCACCCTGATGCCCGATGCTTCGCCAAAGGCAAGGACAACTCGCAACTTCACGAGATCTGCCTGGCGACTTGGGATGCTCTCGAGTGCACGTGGCAAGTGACATATCCCCTTAAACCTGAGATGGGCGTTTGCACAGTCGACCTCAAGGACCTCTGCTGGTTCATCAAAGGTCCTGCTGACGAGCAAAAGTGCGAGAACGTGCAGCAGGTTGAAAGTCTTGCTGGCGAGTCGAAGGGCGAGAACGTGCAGCAGGTCGAGAGTCCTGCTGAGGAGCCGAGGGGCGAGGACACGGATCTGGGCAAGTGGCGAACGGATGATGCGGAGTCCATCGAGAACGGCACTGACGAGACGGGTACTCCTGACAGCGCAGAGGGTCACAGCGGCCCTGTCGCCAAGGCCAAGCCCAAAGCTAAGCCCAAAGGTAAGCCCAAATGCAAGCCCAAAGCGAAGGGGAAAGCCAAGGGGCAAGCCAAGAAACGTGCAGCCAAACCTGACGCGGAGCCCCAGCCGAAAAAGAAGAAGCAGACGGCGGAACCGCCAGTTGCAGCAGCTCCTCCAGGTGACGGAACCGATGGGGACAGCCCGTCAGGTTCTTCGAAGTCCAAATGCCAGGACGAGGGCTACAAGGAGGGGCGCGTGTACGTGAGCATCAAGGTCTCCGATGCTATCGAGGTGCGCGCGGAGCGGCAGAAGGGCAGTTACGACTTGGTGCGGATCAACAACGTGGAGACCAAGCAGCAGCTCACAATGGTGAGCGAGTCCGTCACCTACAAGTGCTTGACGACGGCCTTCGACATCGCCAAGGAGGTCGCCACGCGCCTCACGGCTATGCAAGTCATGGGAGCCAAAATCACATTCATGTTCAGTCTCCTCCGCATCCTCCTTCTGGGACCCCCAAGAAAACAACTGGAAGATATTTTAGAGGGGGGAAATGTCCAGAGCCTCTGCCGACTTCCCTCCCGCCTTCATCCTTCACTCGTCCTTTCCGTCTCCCCCTCCTTCTCCCCTATTCCCTCCTCCCTCCGCCCGTGTCAGGCCACGTCTCGACTCGATTCGATTGATTCGACTCGATTCGATTGATTCGGTCCGATTCGACTCGATTCGATTCGAGTGATTCGATTCGATTCGATTCGATTCGATTGATCGGTTCTCAGCTGGCCCTCGTGGGCCCTTGGTGCGGGGTGGCGATCCCCCTGTTGAGCCCGCGGGGGAGGGGGGGGGAGGTGAGGGCAAACGGATGGGACGCAGCCCAGGTTCTACCTGAGAAGAGCGAGATCAAGGATCTCAGGGACACCGTGATCTCGACTGAGTTTGCGGGCCAGATCGAGGCCTTGCGGCTGCGAGCGACCCAGCCGCCTCAGTAGGCCAACTTGGGGCCTTGGGGTGCGAGGCCAGGCAAGCGTAGAGGGCGCACAGTTAAACGTGCCCACCAGCCCGCCCTCCTTCTCCACCTCATCCCTCCCGCCAAGACAGCCCGCTGCACTTAAGGGGCCCTTAAGTGCAGCGGATCTGCTCCTCCGTCGGGGGGGCTCCCGGAGGCCAAGACAGCCCGCTGCACTTAAGGGGCCCTTAAGTGCAGCGGATCTGCTCCTCCTTCGGGGGGGGCTCCCGGAGGCCTAGACAGCCCGCTGCACTTAAGGGGCCCTTAAGTACAGCGGATCTGCTCCCCCCCCTCCCCCCCTCGCTCCGCGCTGTGCGGAAAGCTGGCCTCAACGCACGAGCATGTTTTAATATTGTCGGGTAGAGTCCTGACACGTTGCACGAGGGTGGGAACAGGGCTGATGCCCGACTGTGCTTCGCTGGGCCACGGACGTGGTAACTGCAGGGGTTGTCGCAGCGAACTAGAAAACAGGTCAGACTCACAGTTGCGCTGGCACCGTTGGAACCGAGCTGGTCAGTGTTCTGACGTCTGTCCCGAGAGATGGGGACGGGAGGACGAGAGGGAGAACGACGACGAGGATGAGCAGGATGAGGAGGGAATGGAGGAGAGGAGAGGAGGGGAGATGAGAGGAGACGAGGGGAGGGGAGCGGAGATGCGAAGAGAGGTGAGGAGATCACAGAGGGGAGGAGAGGAGAGAGGAGATGAGAGGACGGGAGAGGACATGAGGGGAGGGTGGGGGGAAGGAAGGGAGACGGGAAGGAGAGGAGGGCGGGAGGGAGAGAGATGGAGGGGTTGGGGTGACCCCCCAAAGGTGAACAGAGGGGACGGGGGTTCCCACGTGGCGAGGGGTAGGGGGCGCCCCCCCCAAAGTACAACAAAAGTACAACAAAAGTCTAACAAAAGATTAACACTGTTAAACTTTTGTTAAACTTTTGTTTAACTTTTGTTAAACTTTTGTTGTGCTTTACCGTTGTGGCGTGAGATGGTTTCGAAGACGGCGGGCTGGTGAGATCTCAGAGCCACCCCGCGCTCCCTCCACGACCCCCCGCGAACCTCCCGCCCTCCCCCCACGATTTCTCAGAGCCCCCCATGCCTCGCCGCGCCCCCCCTGAAGCGCAGACCCCCCGTGAGACGTCCGTCCTCTTCCCATCCGTCCTTCCCCCCCTCCTCCGTGGTGAAGCCGTTTTGGCGCAGTTGCTTCTCTGCAACGCTAGCTGGCCTGCCTTACGAGCGCGAGCACGCGCATCAGACTTGCTCGATGTCGTCTGCAGCCAGCTACATGACGTTCAGGCGCAAGTGTTCTGAGCAGGAGTGGGCAGACTATCAGAAGTGCAAGGGCAACATCGCCCAGCAGCAATTTCGAGCGCAATGGGCGGAAGCTCGCGTCAAGAACGCGCCGGCCACCAAGAAAAACACTCAGCAGGAGCGCATCAGTCAGGGCAAGCGGGGCTTCTATCGCCCGCGCGCCAAGATCCTCGAGGAGGAGGGCCACGACGCGGAGGGGGAGGTGGCCACGGATAACATCATCAAGAAGGCCCTCGCG